CATGCTGCTAAATATAATTAACTGTTGAGGCACCAGGAAGGGAAGGGCAGAAGGGGGGGGGTGAAAATAAGGATGGAGACATTTCTAAGAGGGTATTCTGTTGTGTTTTTGTGCCTACATGTTGAGATGATCCAGAAAATGAAAGAGAGGGGGAAAAGAGAAGAATGGAGAGGGTGAATCGAAGGGGAGAAGCACAGGTATAAAAATGGCCTAATCTGAGCTTGAGTTTACTAAGGCTCAGTCTCAAAACACCTTTTTTCCGTTCTGGTCCATGTGAAGCAGCAATAAAGAAGAGTATATGTGAGCACACACATTAAATTATCACTGTAATTTAATCAGAGCATATTCCATGTTCCTATGGCCATGTGAAACTGCAATTTTATGATATCTGGGTTTTGTATTTGTTGTGTCTTACTGTTTCTCAAACACTTTTAACATGGGGGAATATGTATTTTTTATGTTGTGTTTGCTGTGCTTGCGTTTTAACGCTGATTGAAAATGAGTGCTGTTAATTCACTTTTGTTGAATTGTTGTTTGCTGGGGCTTTCTGCTCTACGTGGAAATAAACTTGACTTAGAACCACTAGACAGAATGCATTGCAGTTATGAGAAGAGGGAGGGAGCTAGAAAGGAGAAGAGAATGAACGGAAGGTGATGGGTAGGAATTGGGGGGGAGGGGGGAGCAGGAAAGAGAGGAAGAGCCAGAAATGACATAGTTGTTTATCCATATTTATAAAGCACATTGAACTGGGTCTACATTTAGTCAGATTCCTGATATCAAAGGAAGTGCAATGTGATTACAGTGGTTCTGCTCTAAGTATGACTAAAAGCTCAATTTTACCCACGTTTAAACAGAAAAATGCCCAAAAACTCCCAGCATGCCCCAACCAGCATAGCTTTTTTCTGTTTCTGCTTCTATAGGATTGTACCTTAACTCTGGATCCAACCCACTGAAATGAAAAGATTCCCCTATGCTACCCTCTTTAATGAATATATCAGTTTATCATTCATCTGGGGACTTTGAAAGATATTCAGATTCTTATCATGTTATTGATAATTAACATGCCAATTCTGAAAGTTTGTTTTGTTCCTTACTGTCCACAAAATTACTTCTGACTGGACTGATGACTGTGAACTCTGTTTTATTTGCATGAGTACATCTTTAAAATCCATTGGATTCCCAGCTCTGAAACACTGGCAGCCTCCTAACCTGATTTTAGGCTGTAGCAATCCTATCTTTGGCATGAATCATTTTTCTTACTTACTATTCATTTATTTTTTATTTCCATAACAGACATAAATATACTTTGGCTATTGTGCATACTCGCTCCTCACTGGGCTATTGATGGGGGCATATTCCCCATCATATGGGTTGTTTACAACATTTCCTACTTCCACAAAACTTGCGCACCCAGAGTCCACTGATCTCTCCCTCACACTCAGAAAAAATGACTTTACCATGTTATTGTAGTGTTTTTAATTGTGCTTCATAGATTTGTTTTATTATTATCTTCATCAAATTTTATTAGAACTTGTAAGCCGCCTTGAGCACCATTCTTGGTAGAAAGGGGTACCTGTCAAATAAATCAGTGGTCATTATTTATTTAATGGTCCTCAATGGTCCTCCTCCTCATGCGCCTACCAGATATTATTGCTTGCCGTCTGCTCTCCATCATTGCTTGCTTGAGTGGCATTCGGCCAGTAGGCTACAGGCAGTGGCACATGTTCCTCTGCCACATTCTCACCAGCACCAGCATTGTTTGGGACAGAGTGAGATTCAGGTGAATAAGTAGGCTGCAGTAGTGTGGAGGAGGAGAAGCTTCAAGGAGTTAATTTAGTGAGCTTGCCGCTTACAGAATGTGGGCCCTTGACCCGCACCACAAGGTTATCCTAGACACAGCTCTGGGCTCCTGCCACACTGAGCCTTGGCCACTGTTGGAGTGCAGATCATGATAGGTTTCCTCCATGACAAGAAAATGGTCTCCTACCCCTGCTTATAGTCAATATCATATGGGATGTTAGTGAAGAGGTAGGAAAAAAGCAAAGGATTCCAGGAAAGCCAAATGGTACTAGTGGAACCAACAGAGTAACTGGTGGACAGGGAATTAATGAAGGCTCTGGTGAAGAAGGAAGTCTTGGAGGATGTTTGATGAGGTACAGGCATGGGTAGGTTCCATAAACCAAGTTTTGAGAAATGACTACTGTTTCGCCTTATTCACATTGTTGTTAAGTTTTATTATTATTTTTTTAAAGAGCTCCTCATAGTTAACAGATAAACTTTGTGATTCATTAAAGAAACATGTCAGACCTATTTGCCAGGGGTAGCAGTGGGATTGGTGTACGTAACAACTGTTCGTCTCTAGTCAAAAAGTGATCTTTCCTTTCCACTCCTCTCATAGAGGTTAACTCCAAATTTAGCAGGACATTCTAGTCCCTGCCTGCAAATTACATTAAATAATCTGAAAGCAAAGTCTGCATATTCATTCCATTATCCTGAGCTAGCTGCAGAACACTGGCTGGGTTGGGGCTCTCCCATTCCCAGTTACTTCTATTATACGAAGATTAACAATTATATTATGCAGTTCTACTGTTTATCGCAGGGATGTTGTTCAGTAGCTTCTTTTTCCAAAACACAATATCCTCCAGACTGCTTCTGTTTTCAGTCAGGTTGAGAAATTTACAGCTTTTCCCTTGATCTGTCCAGATCAAAAGCAGGGGTTGTATTTATGGAGAAGAGTCATTATTTCAATCCCAGGGTCTACAGTTAAAAACAGAGGCACTTGGATCCAAACGAAGATAAACCTTATCCATTGAAATGGAATAGTTACTATCTTATTTATATTTACATCAATGTAATAAAAATAACTATTATTAATCTACTTAGGTTTTGAGGTGACAGGTATATGATAGCAGTAATGATATTTATAGTTTATCATGTGCACAGCATCTTGCATACATTGCCCAGTAAAGTGCATAATGTCCCTGAGATAGAAAGAGGGAAAACAGATTTCTGTTGAGGGTGGCATTTCTGTGGAGGAAACTGCCAGGAGCCAGATGCTGGTGGCAACGGGGGCTCAAGCCAGCAGTGGATGGAACCATTACTGCTCCCCTTGTTTCCTTCTTTCCTGCCCACCTTCTTTTCTCTCTCTCCCTTCTCTTTCACCATCCCCCTTCTCCCAGTCTGCCTCCTTCCTTTCCCCCTTCCTTCTTGCCAGCAGGCTGCTGAGAAAGGGACACCTTGCACTTGCCAGACATCTGAACTGCAGAGGGCTTTCTAAATTAGGACAAGGCAGGCCATATGAAATCAGCCCAAGAACTGTGGGTTGACCAATTGTTTATATCATTAACACTCTACACCTCCTTGAGTGGTGACACATTTCAGGGGAAGCTTTGTTGAATTTAGCTGAAATTAGAGCATTAATGGAGATGTAGGTGTAATTGCTTTTTTACAAATAGGCAAGCAAGGCAGAAATGGAGATAGGGAGAAATTCCCTCAGAATGCTACAGAAGAGGACATTCCTCTCTCCCACACCCACACCTGGGCTGCATTCCCAGGTCCAGCTAATTCCAGCTAGAAATTCAGCCCCCTCACCTATTTCCTGTTGCAGATTGTTCTTTCTTAGGAAAAGTTAGATATGACATTAAATGCATCCTCATCTGTTTGTTGGTCCTCCTTTTATCTTTATAAATATCAGCCATGGAGCAGGAGAAGGGTGAACTTAGTCCTGATTGGGACTACAGTCACTGATATTTGACCCCAAAGTTCCCATTTAAGTAAAGGCTTCTTAGATGACAAACAGCAAGTGGGCCATTTTGGAGAACCACAGAGAGAAAAAGTAATTCCTCTCTCTCAGATGTTCAGCCCACATGTTTCAGATAGCCTGAAGGGGCTGATCATACCTCATCTCAGAAGCTTAGCAGAACCAAACCTGGTTAGAATCTGAACAGGAGACTTGAGTCTTGCATGGAACAAGGAGGCCCTGTAATTCCACATTTAATCAAAAGGAAGAGGTAGTAGCACTCAAATAGATTATTTGTTAAATTTTGCCCTTGTTCTGGGCTTCTGCAAATGAGGGATTTATTGCATACATGTCATCCGACACTCATGGAAATTTGTGGGTCCTTTTAACATCCTATTTATCCTCCAAAGCCATTTTGCAGTTTTCTTTAGAGCAAAGGAAGCCAGCTATTTTTGTGGATGCTACCATTATTTACTACAGAAGCCTCTTGTGATTTTGCAACTCCGCTTTATACCACAGAGTTATCTTGTGTTGTCTAATGGAACCTATAGGAATATAGAAAGGCAGAGGAAAACTGTCAGAGCAAAAGACTTTGCATGAAGGGTGCTTTAATCCTGTCTCAAAGCACGAGGAAGAAGCAGCCTTGGTAAAGTGCTGGGTTAAATGCTTCATGTAGAGAAGCCCTCACTCATCTGCTAGGTCTTGGTTTCTGCAAGCTGGTATAAGTCTTTGTAGAAACCATTTTCCAAAAAGGCTGCCAGACATCCTGCTGTGGTACCTGTCTCATGAACATGCATAAAATCTGTGTCAAACTATAGGGTTTTCACTAGTAACAAAGCCATGGAAACCTCCAAAGCTGTAGAATTTTTGATAGTATGCATTGTATTAATATATTGCAATGTATATAGAGAATGGTAAAAGAAACACATGGGTCTGTGACAGTGACAGTCCTATGGAAAGTAATCAGGGGAAATTATTTTACAAAACATTTATTTCTATATTGCACATAGCAAGAAAAGGGAGAGGAAGGGAATTCAGTGAGAGCTTTGCCCAAGACCAACTATTGCATTAATGGCCAAGGCATGAATGGAACAGGATTTCCTTAGTTATTGATTGCATCACTTGAACTTACTGACATGATCTAAAGCTGGGCTTCTAATATTTGTACAAATCACCTGATATGTTTTTAGCATACTATTATTTCCCCCCTAACCTTAGGATGCCATGTTACTAAATTAAATTTTGCCCATGAAAGTGTGGAACGCATGTCTTCCTAAAGGGCACTGCTCTACTTTAAGAGGTCCATAAATGGAACCCCTCTGGTTTAAGAATAAAAATACAGAGAAATTTGCTATAAAAGTGAAAACATTGTGCTTAGCACTGAACACTGAGCTTTTGAGAAATTGCTAAAATTATAAATATTTTGGGAGCCATCTCACAGCTTGTGTGTGTGTGTGTGTGTGTGTGTGTGTGTGCGTGAGAGAGAGAGAGAGAGAGAGAGAGAGAGAGAGAGA